ATTAATTATTCATAATTATTAATAATAGTAATTAACAGTTAGTTTAACTTGTACTAAAATAACTAAAACTAAAATGAACATTTGTAGAAAACTATAAATAATAATAAAAAATAAAATAAAAACGGTAAACTTCAACTAAAATTCCAAGTATATTATTTATACTAAAATAACACTATGTACAGAATCATTATGTACAGTACTTTTATTTTTATAACGAGTTATGAAAAATACTTGTGACTCATGCTCAAAAAACCAGCAGACAGGTATCCATTTTCAGAAGAGAAGAGGGTTGAAAATTTAACAAGACATTCACAAGTTCCTGTCAAACTATTTTTTTAAAGATACTTTATTTATTTTAATATAATTTATTGTATTTTATTGAAAAATATTGCTATGGAATGAGCAAAGGCCTACCTGTATTTGACCTACTGTATGTACATTATTTGTAATATTTTTTTATTTTTATCGTATCACTTTTGACTCCCTGAGAACAGAAACTTTGTGTCTGACTTGATTTGACAATTCTATTATTTCCCTTTACTTTTTGAACTTCCAAACTTTTTGGCCACGACTGCATTTCTGTGTTGAGGAACTGACAGTGCAACACCTCAGATGTCTGGCAGACTTAATGTGGATCCTGTGTGTTCATGCTGAAGGTCTCTTTGAAGCACAGCGCTCTCTCGCCTTTGATCCTTCCCTGATGTTTGCATCCCCCATTCCCTCCACGCAAGACAAGCTATGGTGGAGAAGAATGTGGTTAAATTACGCTCTCCTTAAAGTGCAAATCAATGCTAATGGAGAGGAATCAGACCGCCTACATGTATCTATTCTCATTAGTCTTCCAGTTCTTTGGACACGACACACCAGACAAAAACCAAACTACTTTGCCGAAGTGTGCAAGAGGGGGTTTTTAAACCTCTCAGCCAAAGCTTTGGGGAAAATCATCAAATAGCAGCTTCTGGGTATCAGCTGCACTAATTGAATGATGGCTAAATGGAAAACATTTTCGCTTTGTCACTACAGTATTTTTTTTCTTTGCTTTCCAAAATGAAGTTTGTCTTTAATCAGAGATTAAGATTCATTTTTCATACACGTAAATAACATATTTGATAAGGTACACTGGGAGTTTGGCTCGGGCTTCCCACAAATTCATTAATTAATTTTTTTTTTCAAGAATTTACATTAGTGAAATGCACTTAACCCAGTACATAATAAATGAAAATAATTAAGAACCAGGGACAAATAATGCTGGGTGTAAGAAATCACCAAGGACACCTTAATTGCTAGATAGTTTTTTTTTTCTTTATTAAAGTTAGCAGTGCATTCATCCATGTCTAATAGAAACCCCTTGTTGCTCTTAGCAAGCATGTCATTAAAAACACTAAGGGCCAGATTTACTAACAACTTGCACCAGTGCAAACCCTTGTTGCCGTTAAAAACTACCATCAGGATTTACTAAAGACACGCAGTGAAACATTAGCAATGTATTTAATGAATCACGCAAGGTGACTTACTGTGGTTTGTGATAGTCAATATTTTAATAATAAAATATAAAATACATATTTTTACTAAACTAACTTAAGCATTTAATCCTAATTTAGTACATTTTATTTATGGTTTATTGCTTAAATAAAAAAATATAAAAAAAAAATTGTATCCAGACTTGTAGATCTTTTTTTTCATTCCATATTTTGTACCCTGTTTGTGGAAATTAATTATCTATCATGTTCCAAGTATAAGATTGAATATGTAAGATCATGCACATCTGACATTGCAAAGCCTATAATAATCATGTTTGATTTCAGAGGAACTGTGAAATAAACATGTTGTCAAAATTCCAAATCCAGCTTTCCAAGCATTTTTTGTAAACTAAACAAAGGAAATGAAACATTCCACATCTTCTCAAAACTACTCTGTAGATTATAAAGACATCTGTTGATTTATAATCTTATCTCTGAAGAGCAATCCACATTCAGGAATTTTTTTTTTTAATTTACAAATGTACGTATGTCACAGTGAATTATGTATATATTTATATTACATATATATAAACATTACATTTTTATTAAAAAAAAATCCAACACCCATTGGCATTCTTTATTGCAGTTACATCTTACGTGTGACATTGGTTATCAACATGGCAAATCATTAGGCCAAAATCCAAAATGTTAATTTACAAATAAAGTGATATCTTGTGGTGTACCCCATGGCTCGATTCTGGGCCCTTTATGTATTATTAGATCTGTATTTACTTTGTGTAGCTGGCGTAATTAATTGAATCTGTTATCAGTATGCAGATGATGTGCAACTCCATTTTTTACTTTTCACTTGCATTTGTGTGCATATATAGCAATTTGTAAACAAATTTTTAAAATAGTTTATCATCATTATTAGTGGGAAAGGACATATTTTTCTATTGTATTCCAGTATAAAATTGTGAATTGTGCTCATTGTGCCAAAGTTGAGTACACATTCTTGTGATTAACGATTGTGCTTTAATTTTCCCCTGCAGACTAGCTGCAGTTCTCTGTGTTCATCTTTCCTCCTCCCTCTAATGAGCTGACACATGCCGATTAAAGACTCGTGACAGAAAAGAGGAGTGACGGTTGTTAATATGTCAGTGCCCTCGGCTAAATCTTGATGGCAGAGACACATGGGTGCTCTGACTTCTGAGTCTCTCTATGAGACAATAAAGCTGAAGAAGGTCGTAACGCATCTGGACCTGCCAGTCAGAAACCATATGCGGTCAAAGAGATCTTCCTAAAGCTACTTACCATTAAGAGTCTAGGGCTTAAAGGGGCCATAGGAAGGACAATTTTATTTATAGTTTATAGATCCATTGTAAGGGACCGTAACCCTTCATATGAATGTCTAAGTTGCATTTGAACTTTGAAAGAGACATTTTACAGCTGTCAATCCACTTTGGCTTTTATTTTGATCAGAGACTTGAAGGATAATTCTTCATGTTTTAAACTTTTGTAGCGTCTGGACCAATCAGACACACCATTTTTCATTTGATTTAACAAATCAATTATTCATTAGATTAACAAATCGTCACAGTCCTGTAGGATCTGTCTCACAACAGACCCACCTACATGATGGAGACACACACATCAAACTCGCTCATTCCATGGAAGGTTGTTGAGGTTCATTTCTTCCCCGCATCTGTAGTCGTAAAACTCATGCTCCATCGAGTAAGGTGAAAGCATTCCCTGGACTGTTTGGCTATATCTCAAGATAAGCTAAAAAGGACAGTACTTTAACGGTGCTTAAAATGGTTTTACGGGCTTGCAAAGAGCAGATAGAAATACCCTCATGACCAGTGGACGCATAAATTGCTAAACTCCGATCAACAAAAGAGACAATTTTATGGCTCCCTGTCCAGCAGGAGACTTTCCAGGAAATGTCCAGAGCTGACCTGATAGTGACCGGAGAACTTCAAGATCCTCTGACTCAAAACTGGTTCTTTTCATCGACCAATTTCAGCAAGGATCACTGGGACTTTCAGATTGCATCAAGCCTTTCTTTCAGACAGATGAGACTTGCAAGTATCCAAACTTAGTCTTATTAATTGATACATTAGGTATCATTTTCACCTTGTTACAAAGGTGTGTTTGAACTAAGAATCAGATTTTTCCCTCAGGTGTAAATCTGCTGAATATGCAAATGGTTCCATAATTTCATTCCTTATTTCTCTTCTCTGTACTGAGTTAAGCTTTAACCCTTTCCTATACCAACTGTATGCGTGTGTATGTGTATGTTAGACCAGTTTATGTGTTTATGTAGGATGTTAGACCAGTTTATGTGTTTATGTAGTATGTTAGACTAGTTTAAGTGTTTATGTAGTTAATAAAACCTTACTTGTATCACACTTGACGTGGTTCATTGTTTGCTCATAACTGGAGTCACTTAATCATGCAGATTTATGCTACAAGCTTTTGTAGAATTGTACAGTAAGGAAGTTATTTCCCTTAACCAGGAAATTAACGTTCTTAGAATTGACAAGACAGTTGACCCTGAGAGGTCAGCTAAATATCTACAGCGGATCTAAAATATTCACAATTAATTATAACTAGTTATTATTAATTATTCATATTAATATGAATATAAAAGCTGATTCGTTACACTTTTTATAAGATGTTACTTACCTTGTGAAAAAAATGTGTCACCTCCCTATACAAATGTATGATGTCATTAACACAATACAACATTTTTGCACACATTCCCTTCACATCTTATACACCAGTGTGTAAATGACATGATGCGTTGTCATCTAAATCATCTTATAATGCAGATGCTTTGAATGATGAACCATAGAGAATTAGGTTCTGTTACCAAGGTGATTATTTCCTCACATTATCCTTGATCTGGACTGAAGCTCACACTGAGAGGATAACACACTGAAAGCACCATCACACTACGATATCTGTTTTGGCAGCAACGCTGCACAGTAAACAAAGTATATAGCAATTTTAGTGGAAAATAATGCTGCAGTTTGTTGGATACTATAAGATATCTTACCGTATAAAAAGTGTATGACAAAATATATTGTGTAAAAAATATTACTAGCTTAATTTTCAATTTTTAATTGTTCAAAAAATACTTTAAAAATGTATATTTAAGAATGTGTACCGTTACAGTAAAGAGATGCGAAATGTGTTTTTTAAGATTATTATTTTAAAGGCATTTATTGCTATTCTGTTTAGTTTGTGGTTCATGCAAAGACCAATTTTGATAACATTTGTAACCATGTGACTTATTTTACTTTTTTTAATTAAAATTATTTTGATCAAAGAAGATTTTTATGGTTCAAGCTGGATGAAGTCATTAACACTCAATATATCTGTGAATTGTAAATATGCAGGTCCTACAGTGTAATCCCATAAAATCTGAAACACATGGGCATTATGGGGGATTTCAAAGGATTTGTAAATCACCTTTCAAGACTGTGTTCACAACAACACAAAAATGATTTTGTTTTTTTATTATTTTACACAACATAAGAACACAGCAGATGTTGTCTTTATGTACATGGTTTTTTATGCCTTAAAACAAAGGCAAAATCAATGTCACAGAAAAGAAAACGCTTTGATTTTTTAAAAAATATCAATTTAATAACAGGTCCCAGTATCAAGTCCTTATATAGTTGTTTTTTTCCTCTATAATATGCAGGAAATGTCATTTCCTTGAATAGAAAGGCTTTTTTGTGAAATCTCTTATGTTTCTTTCCATCCGTGTAACCGACACAAAGCTCGTATCCAGTAGGAGCCCCTGGTAAGAGGACACAGGAAGGCACCGATGCTTTCCTCTTACCGTGACGCTCGGCGTGTGCAGTGAAGATGGAGGCGTGTCTCTCTCGGGTGATTGATATGGATCTTGATCAGAGCGGCTCTCGCACCTCCCTCAAGGCAAATATCCACATTAATCCATGGGTTTCCAGAAAACATTAATAAAAAGACAGCAGAAAATATGATTTGCGGATGGAAACAAAAGAAATGGTGCAAAACGTGCACATTCATACGATCACACACATTTATATACTATGAGCGCCTATACACATCCACCCACACACACACACGGACGCACGTACACAATGAGATGCGGGCACTCCATCTAGTCTACAGCAGTCGTACATTCACACGGTGCTCTCTAGAATCCACTCTGAACTGGAAAATGCAGTTTTCTCACTGTCTAGATTCGAGTTTGCCATTTGGACTAGCATTCCGTTCACGGACATACTCCGCTTGCAAAACATGTTGCCCAGCTTCTGCGAGCCAATGTAGCAGTGATGTTTCGACAGGTTCTCGTTCAAAGAGTACCTGCGTTTAGCCCGTGCACCTTCCACGGGCAGTGTCATATACTTGGACGAAGATGGACGAGCCCTCCTTAAAATCGGAGTGTCTTTGAAGCGGGATGGAGGGGGTGGAGGGGTTGGGTCTGGCTGCTGAAGAGCGGTGGAGTTGTTGCGGTTGGTGTTTTGTGTCTCTGCGTTGAGCAGCGCCTCTACTTTGGGCTCAGCGCAGGCCGCCGGGATGGGCTTTGGCGCTGGTTTGCGCTTTGGCTTTAGTGACCCTGAAGAGCCGGGAGTCGTCCAGCTTTGGCTTACCAGGGAAGTGGAGGTGGAGCAGTCTGGGATGGAGGTCTCTGAGGTGTGGGTTTGGGAATCTGGAGGTGGAGGAAGAGGCACGGCTGAGCTCTTTTTGCACCCCTCGCCCTCCTCCAAGCTCAAAGCACCTTGTTTGGACGCGGACGGCGTGACAGTACAGCCCTGGGATTGTGCACCGTTAGTTTGCGAGTGCACGTCGGTGACCGAGGTCCCCTTGGCGGAGTCGCCGCTGTTGCACACCTTGTAGCGGATCATGAGGATGATGATGAAGATGAGGACAGAGGCGACGATTATGCCCCCAATGATGATGATCATAGTGCCACCCAAGAACTGGGATTGCATGAAGTGGCAACGCAGATATTCGGATTCGGTGGTAAACTGCACACAGCCCACAACTCGCGTAGCCGTCAGCGAGGTTATGCCGTCATCGTAAATGGCCAGCACGCAGAGGTCGTACTGCGTCCCGGCAGCCAGGTTATTCACCAGGAAGTTTTTACTCGTTGGGGGAATCATTCTGTTGTGTGAAGAAAAGAACAGTGTTAGAATAATACATTATATGTTTCATTCATCATTAATTTATTAAACTGCCTTACACCTTTTTAACAACCTCAAGAGTGGTACCAGTTCCTGCAAATTTTTAATTTACATTTTTTCCAGCTCAGCAGTAGCCCTGAGAGAGTAATCTCTTACATATATGTATAAGGGGTGGGGGGAAGTTTTAGGTACTGTAAACATTTCTACACTATTTAGCTTTTTTTTTGGCAATTCATGTACATAGACCTGCATTGTGACCATGGAAAGTAAAGAAAAGAAAAAAGAAGAAACAAAAAGAAAAGAAAAAAAAAGAAAAAAAAATCAAGCACTCTCTAAAGTAAAAAGTTTATAAAAACAGCTGATCTATCTATCTATCTATCTATCTATCTATCTATCTATCTATCTATCTATCTATCTATCTATCTATCTATCTATCAGTCTTGAAGTCTAGAATTTTTCGGAAATCATTGTTAAATGCAAGAAAAATTTCGGCTGCTTAATATTTCTGTGGAAACTGCGATATATATAGTCAGAATTCACCATTTATTTGGAAATAAATATTTTGTAACATTATAAATGTAATAATTATCTATCTATCTATCTATCTATCTATCTATCAGTCTTGAGTGGCATGATTTTTCGGAAATCATTGTTAAATGCAAGAAAAATTTCGGCTGCTTAATATTTCTGTGGAAACTGCGATATATATAGTCAGAATTCACCATTTATTTGGAAATAAATATTTTGTAACATTATAAATGTAATAATGCATTCTTGCTGAACAAACAGAATGAACTATTTAAAATAAAATAAAATAAAGTAAAATAAGGAGTTTAAAAATAACATTTATAATAAAATCACATTAAAAATATTACAAATTAAGTAATATTTAATAATAATAATAAAAAACTGACATTACTTCAAGGGGTCCAGTGGTATGATTCTCATTTTGGTTTGTGTTCAGGATTTAAAAACCCACACTAATATATGATTTTCATAATCTAAGCAGAGAGCAGGATAGAAAAGACCGCACATCAGAGGGCTCTATACAGGAATGCGTCGATACTAAGCTATTGATAAATATGCTAATATTCGAGTAGGATTTTCATTTGTGCATCAGGCTCAGGCACAAAGCATGCGGAGTAGGTATTATACTATTCTAAACATGTTACAATAAACATGTAAAACAAACTGGGACATCAGGACTATCTCTTATCTCTACCATGTTTACTCTGCTGCAGGCATGTTTAATCACATAATCTAGAGAGCGCAAGTCTCTAGCGGCTGTAAATCTGCTTTGGTGCTGTATCTACAGGAAGTCCTGCTGTACCTGCAGGAACCTGGGGTCTGCTATCACTCTCTGAACCGTTCACTTCAGACTTGAACAATAGCATCTCTTATCATCCTCCCCCCCCACCTGTCTCCTCTGCAGCCTGGCAAACATTCAGCTCATTCAGCCGGCTGAAAGAAGCGCTCTGTGATTTCCCATGCAAACCGACTGGATTTGGAGCACAAAGGTTCTCAGTAGAAGCGGCCTCGAGCCCCAGCCGGTCAGAGCGTTTCAGTGGTGAGAGCGGCCGCCGTCGTACATACAAATGAATGAGCCAAGCATTTTAATTGCAGGGCTGTTCTGAGTAACTCAAAGTGTGTTTAATGGTGTCAAGAGGCTAGTTGCTAGGGTCACATTTCACAAAATAGCTGAAAATATTTGCATGGCTCTACTGTTTGAGTAACTACTCATTTTATGCAGTGAGACTTGAATATATCCTATTTCTAGATGCTTCATTGTTAAATGTAACATCTAATTAGCTCTCTGCCTAGACTCTATTAGTGTCACTACGTCTGGATAGCATAAGTTTCCTCTTTGTGGAGGAGTTTCTCGATACTAGCAGGCAGTTGGCACTGTGAATGCAAAGAGGTTGAAAAGTTTACATTGCTTGGAAATGACAACAAATACTGGGTAAAAAAAGGACAGAGAGATTTCAATTAAAGTGTACACAATCTTACGCAAATTAAAAGCCAAGTGTTGAGCTAAATTCATACTTGAGTGAAAGTAAAAAGTTTCCACATTTAATTGTACTTAATATTTAATAGTAGTCTCAAGAGTGCTACTTACTTGGCTTGTGAAAAAGACAGGGGCAGGGGATTTCTCATTAAAGTAGCTTTGATGCTCAAACTGTGTAGAAGAGTCCTTTTTAGAATGGTTCTGTTGATGTTTTAGTTGTTCTTATACTGATCATTGATCACTTCAAGCCAGATTTGCTTAGGGTTATAACATGCACTGCAGTGGCGAGCGTTGACTTTTTTAACCGGGCATGCTGAGTGATAAGATTAAGCCCCCCTCCCCCCTCCTCATCGCTTTTAAGACACACTCAAAGAGGAAAACATTGTGGCAGGTGTTGTATGCACATTCCTACTTTATGTGTAAAAGAAATTCATCTCCAATCCTTCTTCTATAGTTTCAGGTTTATCCATAATTATTTGAATGCTAGAAAACAGCTGCTTTTCCGAGTAAAAACCGCCAAATAACGTAGTTACTTTATGATGCGTAATATTCAGAGGTTGGGGAGATGGGGGATTCCCCCGCACTATATGTCTCTGCATCGACTGAATGATTTATTTATTCATTCATTCATTCATTTATTTTTATAGTGAATAGGAGTTAAAACTACCACCCGGGTGACACTACTCTACACTACCCTATTTAAATTAAATAAATAAATAAATAAACAAAATAATAATATCTTTAAAATATTGCCAAGTAACGTTGCAAACAACAATAAAATCAGAAAAGGACTTTAATTGTATGCGACACAAGTATACGGAAAATTTTTTTTTTTCATATGATTTAGTCGAGTTTCAACAATCGAGATCTGACAGCAACAGCACATTTTTCCTTTTGTGCGAGCGCTTTGTGTGTATATATATATATATATTTTTTTTTTTTTGAGCTCAGTAAGCTCTTTAGTAAGAGGATAGATATGTGCCATGATGAGCAGTGAAATCTGTACTCTGTCCTTTGAAGGTCTAAATTCAATTAAAAGAACTAAACAGTGTGATTTTCTGCCTTAGTAACAGTCTTCAGTTTCAATAGAACATGAGAAAATTTTCCCATAAAATTATGAAGCACAATTAACTCAAGTATTTTACACCTCTGAGACATCAACACATATTCTGATGAGTAGTGAATCATGTACTTTGAAGATCTCAATGAAATTACAAGGAATAAAAAGTATGATTTCTGCCTTATAAATGTAATTGAGTGAAAATATTCACTTTCAATGGCTTAAAACTAAGCACAATTGAAAAATGAATGAAAGTTAAAGAAAAAAGAATTTAAAAAAAGAATACTGGTTATGCCCTTTTTCATACAATTATGAGTGCTGAAATCAAAATAAACTATTTTTTTCTTTAATGCACTTTCCTGACCTTGTTGTGCATGATCATCAGTGCACCTTATTCCAAAGAAAAAAACTTATTCTCCATGATCTTTTATCAAAATGCTTCCCCTGTGAAATGACCTTCCTTTTTCACTGACATCACAAGCCCCTCATACACCAAACTATAACATCCACACTGCAAGATCCAACCAATTTCTAATCCAGTATTCTGTATAACTCGGAAATACATTGTATTATGAAAATAAAATGTGAGTGACATTTCATATTGACTTACAGCTCAGAAGCAATAGTCGGAAGTAGTGCTGGGCAGTTATACCGGTTCATACCGAATGCCGGTGTTAATTTTTGTTATGATATATTTTGATTTTATCAGACGATGCCGCGATTATAAATGAGAGTGACTCCTGGTTAACATTAAAAGGGGTCGTGTTTAGTCACTATTTAGTGTGGTATTTTTTGACAATATTCACTCATCATGACAGTAAAATAGGGCATTCTAAGTCAATATACTGCAGTATTTCCTCTCTCAGTCAGTAGAAAATATGGTTAACACCCGGTCATGCATGAAAAAAAAAATACCGTCATGTACCATGAAACCGGTATAATTTTGAAAAATACCGTGATATAAATTTTTGGTCATACCGCCCAGCACTAGTCGGAAGGTTTCAGAACTGCAAGAATCAAAATAAGAGCCATCATCATTGTACCCATGAGCAAGACACTTAACCCCAGGTTTAACAGGGGATTGTCTCTGTAACAAGTTCATGGCACTTTTCTGCAGCTTTATCGGAGAAACAAATTCCACTGGCCTTGTTTTTGTGGCGAAAATTCGATTATAGTCTATATTTCACTGCGACCGGTCTGTTGCTAAATGTGTTAACTGAGAAGGGAGCACTTGATAACAGCATGGGGTATCAGCCAGCTGCTTCTCTAGTAAAAAATAGGTCGAGATGTATCTGTAGTCTTTCTGTGGGCTTCATTCTCATCATTTGTGAAAAGAGCTTCCCACACTATGTGCTCTGTACACAAATGATGAGGAAATGGCTTTGGTTCTGCAGTGTGTCTCATTGAACGGGAACGCTCATGGCCAGTGTGTGTTATTGTAATTAGCCGACTGTGGCTAATTTACAGCAGTCTATTGAGATAAAGTAAGCCAAAAAATGAATCTCTTTTTGATTCCCCCAAGTGAGTCTGCAAAGAACGTAATTATGAGAATGTATTAATGAGTACAGAGCATGTGAAAGGAAATATTGTTAGAGATAGCACTAAAACAGATTGGCTAACACACACAATGGTGCCTGAATATTATCAACGCTATAAACTACAGTGATTATTCAATTTTACACTTTAATATGCTCTTGGTAGACACTTTTGCTAATTGTATTCTGTCTTCAGTCTCCCAAATGCCCAAAACCTCTTTCAACCATCAAATCAGACCTGGTAAAACCAGCTTAGGCTAGTTTAAGCTGTCTCTTTCAGCAGAAATGCTGCAATAGATAACAAATGACAAAACAGCACTATGTTATCAAACACTCTTGTGTTTTCCAAACCCTCACTATGTCCGCCATTGGTCAGTTAAAGAGATAGTACCACCCCAACTCACTCTATTATGTTTAAATAAACAGCAACGTTTTGATAAATCCATTTTGATTTACAGTTTTTAGGAAATTAGTCTACAGATGTCTTATAGTTGTCACTTCATATCCTAGCAAATTCTAGGATAGAAAAATTTACTGAAAAACTCTAAAAATATAAAAACTTTAATAGTATAAACACTGAAAACCTTTAAAAGTGTAGCATTATAGTTAGAAAAAAATGTATGCAAACTAAAGGGGAAGTAGTGGCCTCATGGTTAGAGAGTTGGACTCGTAACCCGAAGGTTGCGGGTTCGAGTCTTGTACCGGCAGGGATTGTAGGTGGGTGAATGTACAGCGCTCTCTCCCACCTTCAATACCACGACTGAGGTGCCCTTGAGCAAGACACCGAACCCCCAACTGCTCCCTGGGCACTGCAGCATAAATGGCTGCCCCCTGCTGTGTTTGTTCACTGCTGTATGTGTGCACTTTGGATGGGTTAAATGCAGAGCCCTAATTCCAAGTATGGGTCACTTGGCCACATGTCACGTCACTAAAGGCTCAGATACACTATGACGGATCACAACCAAAAAAAGACAAAAACACTGCACAGTCTAAGAGCCAGGCTGCAAAATCTAATACAGAGAAAAACAGCATTATTCATTTAAAAGAAAATTAGAAATGGATTTCTATTCTACCATTTCACATGGACAGAAAGCACAGCATTGATCCATCTATCCATTAGAACAACACAAACTGGTGATGGATTTTTGTGCTAATGTACTAAATATAAGGTCCTTTTTCTCAACTGGTCTACATAACACCTTGCTGTTGACTCAAAGGGCAAAAGTCAGTTCAATCATGCATCTAGACTGATTGGGATTTTCAACTGCCCTTTAAACCAAATTGTTTGTTCTCCTCTTGCTGGTTGGTCTGAGAGTTTATTGTAAGATGGTTTCTTACATTTAAATCTACAAATTACAATCTACAAACCACATACTGATATATCAGCCTATTTTTATTTTAAATATTTGTGCTGCATTATTTACATGATAAAAATTATGTACACATTTAGTGAAATACTGATGGATTTATTGGATGAAGTATTGATGGTGTTTACTTCACACTGCTATTCTATAAATTATGAACTAAAATGTAAATCTAAAACGCTAACATCTGAAATTCAATCTGAAATGAGTGGCGTTTAAAAAAGTGTCATTAAGTTTCAAAAGCTGTGGCCATTCTGTTTATAGATCTAAAACAATGTGATACCAAAATTGGAATACGAATTCACTGTATCGTACACACATAATAATTCAGTTCAATCCTAAATTTTACTACTTGGTCATTTCATATTGGGAATAAGTTGTCCTTGTTAAGTTAATTGTTCTTATTGGGTTTCTTTTAAATGATGGTAGTGGAGCTTGAGACAGCAACGCTGCAAAAATAAAATTTTCTTTCTTAATATTTTTGTCTCGATTTTTCTTACTCCACTGGAAGATATGTTTACTTGTTTGAAGCAAAAACTAACCAAATTTGGATATTTTTTTTTTTTCATAAAGCAAGATATAATATCTTGAGTCATTTTACTTGTAAAGTAAACACATCTTAATTCCAGAATTTGTAGATATTTATACTAGAGATGCACAGATTGCAATTTTCTTGGCCGATTCCGATTTTTTTATTAGTGTGATCTGCCGATACCGATTATTGCCGATTCCGATTTTCTTTCTAAGAACTATAATTGACAGCATATACAAACAAAAATCTACTTTTCTCCAACGCAAAGTTTTATTTTCATAAAAAAACATGTAAAAAGTCAGTAATAAAATAAGAACACAAAAAAATTGCAAACAACAGCACAAATAAATGCAATAGAATAAAGAGGGCTATGAAACTAAGTTTTTCAGGTTAAGTAAGTATTTATTCAGGTAAGATTTAATTTTTACAATGAAGACTACAGAAATTAAAGTAATCAAATGTAAAATAACACTGTATGTGTTATTTTAAATACAGATTAATGCTTACCATTAAAGTTATAAAACGTATTCAGTCAAGAGCAGAAAGTGATTTTCTTTGTCTTTTGTTCTTTGATTAACATGACAGACAGCAGTAGGAATATTGCACTGCGGTCCCTTTAAGACTTTATCCACAGACCCAATATAGGGAGAAGGGTATAACTGCAGCCTGGAGATTCCAAATGGGGGCGGGAACCCCAAACTGGGTGGTAGCTCCAAAATAGGGCGTGGCTTCCTCCCATTGACAGACATGCACATGACACGCATGCGCAATTTTTCCCCCCAATCCACTTCAGTGCAAACTCTGCCCCACAGCTGATTCTAAAAATGTTATTGGTTGTGTCAATTAAAGTGTTGATTTCCTACACTATGCTATAAAAATGCTAACCCCTAAACCTACCCCACACCTGACCCCAACCTTAACCAGTGAAATTCAAAATCAAAGACCGCAATAGGAGAGCGCGTGGCATCAGCACTGGAAAGATAAGTTTGTCTTACTACTTTTAACGAAGATGATTGTGTGTTGACCATCTGCGTCTTACTTTCAGTTTCATTCGCTGCAGTTTTGCGAGTTGGCTTGCTGAAGAGATATACTCAGCTACTCAGTCTGACTAACATCATATAGCCTATAACACGCTCTCACGTTTATTATTTTATAATTTTGGGAGGAGTAAAATTTACATGTGTGGTTTCAACAACCAGATGCATTTACACTTGTCGAGTTTCATCTGGAATGTGGCCCAGACCACCTCCTGAAGTGGTTTGAGCGATCGGATTTATGTCAGTCTCGAATGCATTTTGGAGGGCATTTACACATGGTCTGTTCACGATCGGATAGCTATTTGATCAGAAAAAAATGCATGAAGTGACCAGGTGTAAACAGGCCTATGATACACAACATGCGTTCTCTTTCTCAACTATTTAACATTCCAAAACTGACTGTGTTTAACTGGATAGTCGCCAAGACGGGCATTTTGACATAATTTTGTATGTATTTGAAAGTTTTAGTGCAGTTAGCCACTCATTTTGGTATTTGTGGCTCACAAGCTGTTTGAGACTGAGTGCGGCTTGTGTGCGCTCCACTAATATACTGTATTGGCCCGAATATAAGACGACCCTGATTATAAGACGACCCCCCTTTTTCCAGATGTACCTTTTGGAAAAAGGCTTTTTAAAAACCAAATCTTGTTTTTTTCTCAGTAAAACACATTTTGTCTTCAATTATTTTCATATTGCATATTTTTCCTATTTTAATTTTTGTTTTGAAAGTATGGTAAAAATTGGTAAACTGTACCAACAATCACATTTTAAAAATATACACTTTTTGATATACCATAAAAAAAAAACAGGTAGCCCATCTGAATTAGGACATTTAGGCTATCCATCTAATAGTAGCCTACCAAAATCTTTAGTTAAAAAGTTAAATCTTACTGTAGTCTTCAAATCTGTGTACTGTCTTACGTTTTAAAATCACAAAGGGAGTTTGGTCGCAATCTTTACAACACGCATTTACGTATTTCATGGCACACTCGTTTATGCATATTTGGCGCCACCTATTGTTGTGGGTGTATTATTGACATGTCAAAGTCTAGACCCTGAATATAAGACGGCCGCGTTTTTTCAGATGTATTTCCAAGGAAAAAACATTGTCTTATATTCGGGTCAATACGGTAGATCAGTGGTGGTGCGCGCGCGTTTGGTATAAGCGCGAAACCTGCGGGAATGACAAAAATAATGCGCAATACAAGCACTATTTAACCGGAGCAAATGAGATGTGTGTGAGAGAGAAGGGGTCGTCGGAGAGAAGAGAGCGAGAATGCGCAGCTGACGTTATTGCCTGTGCCGCTGGTAACAAAACGGATCGGGGCCGATCATGAGGAAAATCGTCCGATTCCGATCCCTGACCGATCGATCGGTGCATCTCTAATTTATACTATAAAACAAGACAAAAATACTAAGGAAGAAAATAATTTTTTGCAGTGAAAGCCAAACAAGTAAAACGAACAAAGAAACAGAACAAAAAAAAAAATAAATAAATTTCTAACAACAACTGTTCGAAATACACTAAAAATGTATACACATCTAGCTTACTTCCTAATAATATACTTTTCTAATAAACCTGGCATTGTATAATACAAATACTCTTCTTCGGTAAGTTGATTTGGATAAAAGCATCTGCTAAATGCATAAATGTAAAAGTAAGTATTTCTCACCTGTAAACAAGAGAGTCATCGTAGGTTCCATTATACTGAATCTGAAACATGCGTATTCCAGGTATATTCCTCTGGAAGTTAAATTTAATGAGTGCTGTGGACGAAGTGGCTTCTGCCATAACCACCCTCTTATCGGAGTTGGTCTTGACATCGCCGGTGTGGTTGCTGCCGTTTGCTCCTGCCCTTGTCGAAGTGGAGATGTCAGAAGATCCCGGGTCAGGCTCTTGGATGTTATTGGTGCTGTTGCTAATGTGTGGAAGCTTGATGATGACCAGCTCCACGGTCTGGTGGGCCTCCCCGGCAGGATTCGAGGAAATGCACGTGAAAGAGCCTGTGTCCTTTACTGTGCTTATAAGGATGTCCAATGTGCCATTGTTGTAAACCAGGGTGCGTGACGAGTTTGAAACCAACTTCCCATCGGGAGATATCCAGTGAATGGCAGGTTCTGGATCTCCCCTGGCTTTGCACTTCAACGCAACCCGTTGGCCCTCCAGGACCCTCATCTCGTGAGAGTGGCGGGTGATGAGGGGCGGCTCGCAGAGGAACTCCTCCTCCGGGATGGACCAGAAATAGCGTCCAGAAAGGTGCGAAGGTGTGGCGCAGGTCTCCAGGTCGTCCTCACGATTGAGCCGCCGAAGCCACAGCAGCTCACAGTTGCAGTGTAAAGGATTTCCTCCAAAGCTCAGAGCGAAAGAGGAGGGATTCAGTATGCCAGACGTGGCCAGAACCTGCGCCCGCTGGAAAAGTGGGTCCGGTGGAAGCTTCTGGAGCTTGTTGGAGGTCACGTCCAAGCGGTTGAGCTTCTGTAGGAGGGAAAAAGTCCCCTCAGGAATGTATTCGATCATGTTGTGGTCCAGACTAAGAGTGTGTAGGCTGGTCATCTTTTGAATGGCCTCCCAGGGGATGGTCTCCAGGTTGTTGTAGGATAAGTCCAGTTCTTCGAGGGCTAGTAGGTCGTTAAAGGCTCCCATGTGGATGAGGGTCAGTTGGTTGTTGTTCAGAATCAGGTGATGCAGCTTAGACATGCCATTGAAGGTATCATTGGCTATTCGTGTCAACCGGTTGTGGTCTAGATGCAAGGCTCGTAAGTTCTCCAAGTCCGCGAACGCATGTGGAGTGATGTAACTTATTGTATTCCTTGACAAAGTAAGATCCACCAACTTGGTCATGTTGGCCAAGTCTTTCCGTTTTATGCTGGTGACAAAGTTATCAGCTAGCCGGAGCTCCACGGTGTGCCTGTCGATGTTGGGCGGAACAAAGAGCAACCCTTTTTTGGCACAGAGTGTTGCGAGGTTGGGGGATAGAACTTGACAGACGCAGCGCTTCGGACAGATCTGGGCCTTCACTGCCATTCCAATAACCAACAAGCAGACAAGCAGTTTTTCCATTGTAAATCAGGTTTTTACACCTAGGGAAATGAGAGAGAAAAAGACGAAGCGTGTGATTAATATGCTACTGTGCCTTTGAACTACAATTTTAAGCAAAGTAGGCCTTTATTCAGTTAGAGCATAATTGCATTTGTAGATGTTTATCAAACACCAGTGCTTTGCACAGCCATAATGCATGTGATAACAGCAGGCCATTGGTTATCCTGCAGTCATTTCAGGAAGTGTGATAAACAGTTCATCTTGCACAAACAAAACCCCATGTCAGATGTAAGATATCAGCAGTTTTGTAACACAGCAGTAACATTCCCAAGCTCAAGAATCAATGTTGCCAGAGCTGAAAAGAAAAACAAGCATCCTGCTCTGATAAAACATGTCCAAAATAAGTGACTCACCAAAAATCATTTTTGTCAGATCATTCTTTTGCAGCGTTAATTAGGAATATTTCCCATGCTTGTGCAGACTCTAAATCAATATGTAGTTAAAACTAAAACAAAAAAAATATTAATTATTTTGACAGCTAAAGGAAGTTTTTTTGTTTGTTTGTTTTTAGACCAGTGTATCAAGCATTTTTAGCTAAATTTAAAAGCAGTCACATATTTTCATGTATAAAGACCCATTTATACTGTGTGTAAAAAAAACAACAAAAATAAAATAAAATAAAAGCGTGATATTATAAAGGCAAAGTGTTTTCCCAAATTAAATTTATGGACTTACAGGTCATTGTGCTAAACCCAAAACAACTGATTAAAATATTACCTGCAAAATACTTTGTACTACAACAGAATATTTTCTTATTTTTTTCACTTAATATTAAAATATAAAAGAAACATTTTTATTTATTTTTTTTTTATGGAGGAACACTTTCTATGTTGTATCCTGGGACACAAACACAAACTATGCTTCCACATATTCACAGTGCAAAGGATTTGCTTCTTTCACAAAGCTATATGTATATTTGCTTTCTTCTAATTACTTTAAAAATACACATTAATTTCACAGACCACCTAGCATCACTTGCAGCTCCCTGAGGGTCTGCGGACCCCAGTTTGAAAATCACTGATATAAAGTGCAGTTTGAACAGCAGGTGGGGAGATTTGACAGCTGTGATTAGTGGTTAGTCACACTTTATTGTGATATGGCCGCTAATCACTAGCTAGTCCAAATACACGACTGGAAATAAGCCCAAAAATGCAACCACTTGCCCATATTTATAAGCAACTTTATAAAAAAACAGGCCCAAAGTAGCTTATAATAAGTGCTCATGGCAACGCCGCTCAAAATAGATCGATGCAGTATCTAAAGGAGTGTGGGTTTATTTCAGGCAATACACATGGCTAACAAACATCATGCACACTACAGGAATTATTTTAACACTTCACTTTATTAGTGGCAAATTAAGAACAACATTAATTCATTCTAAACCCAATATGCTCTTTTCATCTTTGATTTCAAGGGTTTTAACACAACATCTTCCTTGTCTCACTTTCTCACACTTCTCTCGAAGGTGTGTGACTCATTCTTTCCTACTGTAGAGTCCTTCACTCTCCATTAGAACTGTGTGGGTGCGCAGAAGAGCTGTTTCATAATGACCGTGTGTGTGAACAGGGAACACTTTTGCAAGACCCTGACCCAGTGGGGGCAACTGTATTATATTTAATTATATAATTATGCTGAGTTGAGTATGTAATGACACAATATGGGGTCTAACAACTCTGCACTCATAGAGAGTACTGCATTAAAATCAGCCATCATTAAATGGTAAGAGAAGCTGACATCAGACTATGAAATCATGAGGAGACGGTCTGAGCATTAGACCTGGAATTACCCGAAGAAGCATGATCATTGATTGATTATGTCATCTTTCTGGATAGGATAGTATATCTCAAATATGATCATTTGTTATTGTTTATTTACCCTCATGTCATTCCATACAATGAAACTGAATAGTTATGGAGGGCTGTTACAGACCAAAACTGACAAAAAAAAAGCATAATAAAATTACTGTAAAAGAAGTCCATATGAATCATGTGCAACATTCAAAGCCTCAAAGTCATACGAAAGCTTTGGAAATTTTCCCTTCCATCACAATAGACATCATACCAGGCTTGATATCAAAAAGGCTTTTTGGTTTTTGTGCCTGGTATCCAATCAAGACAAAATTTATGAAAGGGAAAAAATGTGATGAAAGGGAAGATTTACCATAAACAGTTAGCTTGTCTGTTTCATGCACATAACATTTTACCTTCATTTATGACACCTTTATGTTGCTTTCTAGTCATTTTTGGAGCTTTCAGTATTATATTATTATACTATTACAGTATTTATTATATAATATTAAAGTATTTATTAATATTTTGAATTAGCTTTTATTTTTATATTTTCAGTATTCATTTAAATTTTTGTTTAACTATTAGTAACTGCTTTGGTACATATGATTTTGTATACTGAACTTTTTATATTTCTATTTAGCTTTAATTTATTTATTTCAGACTTTATTCAGTCGGAGTAATTGTAGTACTTCAACCTATTTTATTAGTTAGTTGCCAAGGCAACATTACAGTTTATTTCAGCTTTATTTCCAATAACAAAAATTTGTAATAGTTTTACTTTTTAGTCTGGTGTCAATATCCTGTCTAACAGCATCTTGTGTGCTTCTCGGAAGAAAGACAATCATACAGGTTTGAAACAACATGAGAGTGTGTTTATTTTTGGGCATTCCTTTGAGTGTAAAAGATGATGGAAAGATGATTTTTGAACATGGCTGGACAAGATAAAATACTCCCTTGCTCTCACTTGAAAGACTCATCAGGTGAAACTATCTTCAGCACACAGTGAAACTCACAAGAGTACCACAGACCCGATGCTGCCACCCAGTCACACAGCAAATGCAAAGATTGTGTACTGCAAGTCTTCACTATTGATTTTCATTCCACCCTGCGGACAGGACGAAGCAGCCTGATTTGAGTGAGCAAGAGAGAAAGGGCAGGAAAAAGGAAAGAGCGAGAGAGACAGAGAAATATGATGCCGTAATGGAGACTGATGTGCTGTGCATATGAACAACAGGGAATAGTATGTAGAGTGTATGATTCATGCCAGTGGTTCTGATTCACGAGCCCTGACTCTTCACCAGTGCAGTAAAGCATAAGAGGCCTCGGCAGATGTGCATTATGTTTTGCCTCAAGATGAACTGAATAATGTGTTCAAGCCACATGGTTACGCAAGGATCAGTGTAGAAAAACTACTTTTTAGACTGCTTTATGACGTAATAGGACACAATCCCATTCGTGTTATCTATATGGTCTAAAAACCTACACTGTATAGGAATCTAAAGCAAGTTGTAAAGGTGCTTGATCAGATAATTCCCAGTAGTTATCAGAAATTATCCAAGGCGCTGTTTATATCACTAAAGGAGACAATTCCACCAATTGTTCTGGCATTACCTGTGACAATGACAACCTCATCACGGATGTTGATTAAACCTGTTAAGTTGTGACAAATATTCATAAAGAACACCACAGACTAACTAAAATGTGTTCATTTATGATCCAAGCTTACAACACCCAGAAATCTTCTCTTCCATCACCCTTCTTTATCATTTATGAATGCAGATTTGAGAATTACCACATTTGCATTTCTCAATTCTTTAACAAACTTAAATAGAGACAAACTACTGAACAATAGGCCTAATTATTCTGCATATTTTATGCTTCATTAAGGGCATCTAAGTGATAAAAATATTCAAAAAAGAAATGTTTTTGACAAAATATCAGTCTAAAAAAAAGAAAAAAACTTTGTTTTACTTTGTTCTTCTTCCAATCCAGTTTGAATTCATGACTTCAGCATTTTGTGGTGTGATGTGTGGAATATCGGATACTTCATGCACTCAACTGTCGCAGCTTTAATTACGTAGCGGGGGCTGGTGGGGGGAGGCTTGGTAAATATATTTAATTTATACACTATACACGGTTCAATGCATAGTGCCTAAGTACATAGTGTATAAGCGCATACTGAATAGTGCGTCATTTGGGACACAGATACAGTCTACACAAAACAGTAGGTGAAAAGTACCTGGATTACCTACTATTTCCAGTCAGATTCTCAAGTGTGCATCTGATGGATACTTTACTGTTCTATGTGAGAATGGCAGTGAAGTGACGCAGCTGACTCTGCTACATAGTAGCAGACTGACACTATGACGGATGTAGTACATCTGGATTACATTCGTACTTCACACAGTCATACTATATAGAACATACATTTTTATGGCCACAAACCAATTACTGACTCAAAGCAAGTACCTACTTGGATATTATGTGATTTTGGATGCAACCATGGTTTCACATCTTGTATATACTGATGACATTTATTTTGGAATTGACTTATAAATGTATAGGCTTATAAACAGAATACAACCATGCTGCATACTGCTGCAATATGCATACTGTGCACAATATGCACATTTTCTGTATGCATTGAATACCCAGGTGACCCATTACATTTGCAACTGTGTGGAATACTACATCCCACAATGCACCCGTGTAATGGATGAATCAGTGGTAATATTAGATGTGATGCACGCCTTTCTTGACTCATTCTATCAGAATGCTAAATGTTAGACATGTTTACACAAAAATCAAACTGCAAATCTACTGTCTATTGTTTACAAGAATTTAAGAGCTAACAATATATAATTCTAAGAATATAGAATTGTAAGCCTGAACATTGTTTGAAGATGTATATTAATCTGCATTGTTTGGCTAAATAAACCATGCATGGGATCCGGTATCTTACATAATCTCAATCTAATGAAACAACATCAGCAATCCCTCCCAAAATGCAAGCTCCGGATCCAAACACATACTGATGTAAAAATATCACTGATCTCATTAAAATCCTCTCTAGTCTGTTTAAATATGCCAAACAAAAAGTCACTTTGTATTATTCTGTATGACAAGTGACCACACTGAATATCAAGTAGATGATGTATGCACAACAAACACTCATGAAAAGCATAATGA